TTCTTTGGAAATGAAACAACTAGGTTTCCAAAAAGAGACTGAAAGCTGAGAAGTCATGGATTAGTGTCTACAAAAACCTACAAAGTACCATGGTGCCTCATGTCCTTAAACTCTGCTCTCAGGAGGCAGAGGCAGATGAATCTCTGTGAGTTCAAGGCCAGTTCGGGCTACACAATGAGTCCCAGGACAGGCAGAGCTACATAGTGAGATCCTGTCTCAAAAACCAAAACAAACCTAAATGCAGCAGTTCTCTTAAAAGATCATTTACTCACTAGTAAGTGATAGCAAGAAAACCCTTTACGATTACAAAATATTCCGAGCAGTCCGCATACACTGAAAGTGAGGCGGTCTTCATCCACAGATAGTGTAACTGGGTACAAGTCATTAGCCCTCCACACAGTAGCAGATGCAGGCCCATGCAGTGCATGCTATAGAGAGACTGTACAAAGTCACCTTGGGTTATTACCTGAGATAAAGACCTTATCTTTGTAGCTCCCAGAACCTCTGCCAGGCTTCTCTTTCTCGATCACAAACTGCATCAGATTTGGGGTTCACTTTGTGCATTTCCTCAACCTGAGTCCCTCGGCTTCTCCTTTTTCTTTAACCACAGCTCTCCACACAATCCCAGTTTTCTACAGAAAGCCCTTCCTGACCCTTTGGGTTTAGATTAGTCCTGAAATTCCTCCATCGCTCACCTTATCCAACTGATGTTTGTTTAAGTGTTCAGCCAGATTAGCAGCAGCATGAAAACAGAGACAGGCTGATTAAAATGACCTCTTTTAATGCAGTCAATGCTCCTAAAGTTTTGTTCAAATACATTTATACACTGTACCTTGTTTTATGAATCTAAAGAACTTCATCTTAGGAATGTAAAAGAGAGAACCACTAAGAAGCTGATAAGGCCATGCCAAAGCCTCAGAAGCCAGAACCCAGCAGAAGACAGTCCTCTAAACACAGCCAGATATGCTCATCTGCCGAGGAACCAGCCCTTCAGAGCTCAGGTATCATTCTAGATCATAGTTAGTGGAATTTTAGTAAAAAGAATTGTAATGGTTGAGGCTGCTGAGATGACTCAGGGGGTAAAGGTAACTATCACCAAGCTTGACAGCCTGAGATCATTTCCCAGGATCCACAGGGGAAGATCATCAACTCTCCAAAGTTGTACTCTGGCTGGCCTCCACTTGTGGGTCACAATATACTCACACTCCCATACAAATTCATACACATGTAAAATAATAAATTAAATATGAAAACTATTCAAACAATGTATTTGTGATGGCAGTGAGTACTGATTGTAAACTTAATTGGATCTAGAATAATCTAGAATACGCTATCGTGTGTAGGTGAAGTTTACAGATAGAGTTAACCCAGGTGGGATACCCAACCTAAGAATAAGGAGGAGGAAGTGAGCCAAGCACTGTATTCTCTCTGCTTCCTGACTGGATCCAATGTGACCAGCCACCTCCTGCTCCTGCCACCTCCTGCTCCCGCCACCATGCCTTCCTCACTGCCAAACATCTGCCCTCAAACGGAAACAGAACAGCCTTCTTCCTTCCTTCCTCAGGAGGCTGCTCAGCCAGTATCTGCCACAGCTACCAGGAGAGAACACCCACAGGAAGGCACTTGAAGGAGTTCTCCCGTTACCTGCTCCCGCTCCTTATCTTTGGTCTTGCTTCTGTAGACTCTAGCGGCAGTGGCGTCCTGAGAAGGGATGGCAGAGATCTGGTGCAGTGGCATGCTCATCCCAGCCTCTGACCTGGTCTTCCTCCTTACGGAAGTGAGTCTCCACTAGCAGAGTCATTTTGGGCCATTGACTTCAAGCTGAGAGAAACGAAAAGAAATACAACTGAGCTAAGTTACCTGATTTCCAACAGTAAGACTAGTGCTGCGTTAAATTTGAGTAAATTATGCTGGCAAATACTTGGTCTGCAAAAGGGATAGAAAATGACTGGAGAAAAATCGTAACATTTGTTTCTTATAATAAAATGATAGTACCTGAAGGTAGCTAGGGAATCAGGTCTGTGAATAACCACAGATTAGTCTTCAGCAATGTCTCATATTATTTTCAAAGTTAAACTTTTGCTCATGAGCAAGTAAGTATTCCTGTGTAAGTATGTTTCCTTGAGAATCAAACCTAAGTCTCATGCATCCTGATATAGTAATTTTTCCTTAAAACTAATGCCCTTGGCAGGAGGACTGCAAGTTTGAAACTAGCCTGAGCTACCTAATAAGATCCTTTATAAACAAAGCAAAATTTAAAGTAAACATTAGATACACACACAAAGCAAATTCACCAATGCTGTCCTTGGAGTCAGATTATAATTCTGTGGTAGAGTTTGCCTACATACCTAAGTCCCTCGGTTCAATCCCTAGTATGAAGCTCTAAATAAGAAAAATAAGTGGAAGGGGAAGAAGAGAGGGAGGAGGCAAAATAGTAGTCCCTCCAGCTGACCTCAAATTCATATAATGGCAAGACTGCTGAAATTCAAAGGATCTCTGGTTTATGCATAACCTTCCACAAGTCTAGACTCTCCAAACCAGCTGTTGAAGAGCAAGATAAATATTTCAGGCATGGTAGGCCAAATCTGTTCTAGTTACTTAACTCCACTGTGTAGTGTGAAAGCAACCATTGACAATGGGTAAATAAATAAGAATGGTTACGTGTTATCATTTAGATATGCTCTGTCCACTAAAGGATCACCTGCTGCAGTTTGGTACCCCGTGTAACAGGAGTTAGTTCCTAACACTGTGAAGAGCTATGGAGTAAGTCTTGAGGACGGAGAAGTGTTTTGCAGAAGGAGCCCCAGGAACAGTTGTTACAAAGCTTCCAGCTCTCCTGCTTCCTCTCCCCACCACTTTTTCTTTCCTTCCCCACTATTTCCCTTTCCAACCCTGTGATAACATCTAGCCTGTAGCAATACAGCAAGAGGCCCTCACCAGAAGTCAGTGCCGATACCCTACACATGGATCTCCAGAACTGTGACCTAACTAAACATATATGTGTGTGTTTTTAAACACATATTAAACACACACACACACACACACACACACACACACACACACACACACACACACACACACACCAATCTTGGGTATATTTTGTTATGAGAAAACAAAATAAACACAGCATTGTATACCAACAGAAATGTATTTGCAGAAACAGGTGGCAGGATAGATTTGGCCCATGACTTACAGTTCAAAAAGGGTTTCTTGGGGAGGATGTAGGTAATCAGGGACATTCTTGAGACCCCGAGAAGGCTGCCTTTTTGATATCTATATAAGTTGTCTTATGTGACCAGGTATACTTGGTTTTTTTCTATACTCTCTCATTGCTAATAATCAAATCTTTCCTCCCTATTTGCTTCCTTTGATGCCTCCACAGAAACAGCCCTATACAAACTATCCATGTTTACAGTAGTCACGTTTCATGATGCCGTTTGAATGTTAACAGGATAGAGCCTTAAAATAAAAGAATATGCCTCTAATTTGGGGGCCTTTGCTTGTAAACCATGTGTAATGTGGTGGTAAGTAGGGAAGGTAAACAAAGGGCTAGAGCACCCTAAACCACGTTTGAAAAACATCTGCTCCAGCTCTCTCAAAACTCTGCTCTGGAACAACTGTGTCTGTGGGGCTGGTCTCAACCCTGACAGTCTCACTAATGAGGCAGAAGATCACCAGGACTCACGCACAGATTCTTGCACACTGATCAAATCATAAAGCAACAGGAAGGAAGGAGGAATAGCTACAGACCAACACTCACATGAAAATGAGCTACAAGAATATTTTAGAAAGTCTCATTTTATAATAGGCAAGTGACTGAGAATCAAAAAACAAGAAGACAGGGGTGACAGTGTCTACACACCACACATCCCCTCCTCTTCTTCAGGTTCTGATGAAGCTGCTAGAGAGGGAACCCTGTACCCTACAAATGTTCTGCATGGTTATATCCAAACACATTGTCCCACACCAAGAGGCACACACTTACTGTTGAGTTGCTTACACTCTGGAATATCACAATAGTAGTGAACAGTGTCTTCATCACTAATGCATTAAAGATTTTTGTCAAAGATGATGAATTCCATGTGGTTTCTTGGAATAAGTAGTCAAACTGGCCGTGCCCAAAGCCCCACTACCAATCATGCCAGTAGCTACCTGAGGTGCTTCTGATATAATCACCATTATTACATCATTGGTACATGTCCATGACAGGCCTGGGAAAGACTATATATACCAAAGAGAAACCAAGAGAGTCAGAATGTTTGCAGCTCTGATGGGCCCCTTCCTTATGGTCATTCCAGCTGCTCTTCTGACATATACCTACCTCCAGGTAATGGAAGTTTGCCAGAAAGAACACTATTTGAGATAAGCATTCATTTACAAACGAACCAACAAACAGACACTGCCTCTATGTACATGATGGTTCATATGAAAGAAAATATATGACAGTTATCTATTTTATATCAATTCAGTCCATCGTTAATGAAGAACCTTTAGACTTGGCAATGTGCCTGGTCATCTAGATGAGGACTTCAATTTCACTGATATAAATCAAAGCCAGCTGAAATGAACATCTATATCTAGAGGAACTAGACTCCTAAGGTTTGATTCAGGAAGAAATGCCAAGTTTATGATGAGGAGAGTTCACTAGTCAGGATTATAACTCTCACAGGCTGGGATGTAGCTCAGTGGTAGAATGCTTGTGTAGCATTAACAAGATAATGGGTTTGATCACAACTACCTCAAAGGTGTGTGTGTGTGTGTGTGTGTGTGTGTGTGTGTGTGTGTGTGTGTGTGTGTGTATGTGGTGGGGGTTGTTCTCTTCAAACTGATCTAAAGAATCGAAGTAATCCCTGTTTGGCACAGATTTGACAAGCTGATTCCAAAATGAAAATGGAAACTCAAGAGACTCAGACCTGCTAAAGAAGGCTTGAAGACCAAAGTTCAAGGACTTTTCAGTTTTAAAACTTACTCCACAGGCTCAGTAATCAAGACAGATTTGGACATCTGTCCAGACAGATATATAGAGAACAGAAGTGCAGAGTTGAGAAATAAACTCAGCTATCTATAGTCAAATAACTTTCCTAACAACATGATTCCACAGGGCAAGAAGACATTGTTCAATGAGTGCCAGGACAACTGGACAGCCTCAAGAAAAAAAAAAATAAATCTGGATCCCTTCCTCACACTAAGAAACAAAAGAAAAATTAGAAATCAATAAAAATAATTTCATTATGTATGTGTTTCAAAAGTCATCATGATAAAAGTGAAAAGTGTAGCTCAACAGCACTGTGCTTGCATAGTAAGTTCAAGGCCCTGGGTTTGACATCCAGCACGCGCGCACGCGCGCGCGCGCACACACACACACACACACACACACACACACACACACACACGGCAGTCTGAATCCCAGAACTCAGAAGAGAGTCAGGGGATCAGGGGAACAGCATGTGCTATACACAGTGAGACCTTTTCTCTAAGAAATAAAACAGAGAGTAGAAGGGAGGGAGGGAGGGAGGAATAACAACAAAATCAAAGAAAATGTTTGTCAGTCATGCATCTAGCAAGAACCCTATATCTAGAAAACACAGACTTCTCACAATGTAATAACAAAAAGACAAGAACCCAGTGAGAAATGGCTACTTGAAATCATCAGCTGTCAGGAAAGTGTAAACCAAAGCCATAAGGGACCATTTATGTTCCTAACTGAAGATATATGAACAAGTGTTGGTAAGGACATGGTGAAACTAACCCCTTTGTACATTGGTGATGGGAATATAACTGGCTGTTATGAAAAAGCCTACTTCTTCCTCAAGATAACAGACATGTTACTATACGACCCAGCAATTTAACTTCTAGGGCACACACATCCAAAACAAATTAAAGTATCTACCCTATGCATGAACACTGCCCCTAAATTTATTCATGTGTATTTATACTGCATTATCCATAAGAACAAAAAAGTAGAATCAAACCAAAACTGTATCAACTTCAAAGTAAATAAATATAATGTATATCCATTCACTTGAACCATATTCATCAATAAAAAAGTATGAATGAACTTCGAAAAAATATTAATTGAAAGAAGCTAGTTACAAAGGACCATCTAATATATGATAACATTTGCATGTCCAGAGTAGGTAAATCTACATAGATAAAGTAGCAGCTGGATGTTGAGGTGAAAATGGGAAAATATAAGGGGTGACTACTTAAAAGGACTTCTCTTTAGAGTAATGAGCATGATCTAAAAGTGCCTATGGTGATGTCACACAATACATGAGCAAAGAAAGCTTTAGAAATACATCCATTTAAGTGGGTGAGTTGTAATGCATCTAAACCATCTAAATAAAGATATTTTTAAATGGAAATAAGTGAATTAAAAAATTTAATTTTTCCTTTGTGCTACCTCTCCTTAATTTTTCCAGAGGGCCTGGAGATGGACACTTCTCCCTTACCCTCCCACCTCTAAGCAGGACAAGAGAAAGGGTACAAAAGTAGCAATCAGAAATCAAAGTTCAAGTCCTGCTATCAACTGTGTGAGGTTAGGCAACTTCTTTTTTTTTTTCTTTGATTCTTTTATTAATTTAATTTTATTTTTTTAAGTAAATTTATTTTACAACATCATTTAGTTCAATATAATAGCCACAGATTCCCCTGTTCTCCCACTCTCGTCCCCCTCCCCCCACCCCATCCCCCATTCCCACCTCCTCCAGATCAAGGTCTCACCTGAGGACCGGGATCGACCTGGTAGACTCAGTCCAGCCAGGTCCAGTCCCCGCCTCCCAGACCGAGCCAAGCGTCCCTGCATAGGTCCCAGGATTCAA